TTTTTTTGTCTTTTTAAAAAACCTAGGGTGTGGGGCCACCACAGGGAGGGGAAAGGGATGTAGCCCTCACTGCTACATACGGGAGGGTGGACTGGCCAGTTCATAGAAGAGCAAATAGGCGTCGCTGGTGCGCACTTGGCTGGAGGACATAGGTGTGACACTGTGGAGAGATCAGGGGATAGTCAGACCCTGGTGAGGAAGGCCATCAAGGACACAGAACTGAATGTCTGAGAAGTGTGAGGCCCACCCCTAACTTCTCTGCTGTACACCCAAAGCCAGCCTCTGTCAAGTGCCTTTGGTGGGCAGCAGACTTGAGCGTATTATCAGCGTCCTGGTGCTGACTTTTTCTGCCCATTCAAGATAGAAGCTAAGCTGATAAGTGAGGTACAGGGTGGTTTGACGGCCAGAAGCCCATCCAAGACCTTACTCACCTGGAGTCATTGAAAGTGTGCCATTCGCCCGTCACTGGACTTCGGCAGTAGGCTGTATAATGGCCACCCATGGTGGTTCCGGAGTGATTGGACACAGCATATAGGTTGTAAACAGCATGGTCTGAGGAGGAAACACAGGTGTCAAGCCCAGAAGGAATTCCTTGTCCCTTCCCTCCTGTCTCTTATTCCCAGTCTTAGCCTAACTCGGGCTTGCTTCCTGCCATCTGTTTGCTATCTACCTACATCTGAGAAACTTTGCTTTGATTCTTCCCTTCCTGCTGAAAGATACTCACTGGTGTTTTCTGAGGCAAATTCTCTCAAGTCCAGGTCTCTTAGTGGGAAATTTACAAATGTTGTAAGCTTGCTGGTTCGTATCCTGGATTCTGAGAATCGCTTCAGGTCTGGGATTGCTGAGTCAAGGACACACAATGCAGCAAGAACAGAGGCAAACTAGAGGAGACCATGTTATGTGGGCAACTGCACATTTCTCAGAAGCAGAAAAGCATAAAAGACAAGGAAGTCTACAATTTCATTTTTCCCTACTGTGCTCCTTTTATCTTTTGGTCCCTGGATATCAGTCACTCTCAAAAGTCAGGACTCGCAGGGAGCGGGTAGGTCACACCTGTAATTCTAGCTACTCAGGAGGCAGAGATCAGGAGGACTGCAGTTCGAGGCCAGCCTGGGCAAACAGTTTGTGAGACCCTATCTTGAAAAAAAACCATCACAAAAAAAGGCTGGTGGAGTGGCGCAAGGTGCAGGCCCCGAGTTCAAGCTCTAGTAAAAAAAAAATAAATAAACAACAATGAATAAACAAAAAAAAGTCAGGTCTCTGCCTTGATGGACCTTAAGGATACGGAGCACCAAGATTTTTGGGAACCTCTGGATGGAGAACTTCTTTATACATCGCTTTCTGGCTCGGCAGCGACAACATGTCTGAAAGACAAAACAAGTGGAGCTAGAAAGAACTTGTGGAGGAAGTCAATGGACCAAGCCAGTAACTCCTCAGCTGGACCTTCCCCAAACAGGTCCTATGGAAATCTGTTATTCCTTTCACTAAAGGGTGACTTACCGGCTTTTCATCGCCATCAAGCACATCCTCTTTGGTGAAGAGCCTCATGCAGTCCATTAACGTCACCTCAGGATAACCTCGCTGCAGAGAAAAAGGGTCTGAGGTCCATGGCATGTAAGCACAGGAGAGGAAACTCCAAAGGTGGGACAACAGCAGCGGTGCATACCTTAGCAATGGGCAGTGAGAGGTCCCAGAAGGGATCAAAGACCGTAGAACAGTAGCCACAGTCTGTGCACGTCAGGGAGCTCTTTAGCTGCCCAACAAAGAGATCTGAGGAAGAGAAGGCCAGGAGATGCTGACATAGGACGTGGGCACTTGGTCTTCCTTCTCACTGCTCCTGCCTCAGTTTGTGGGACATAAGCAGAAGCAAGGTTCCCTGGGAGAATGATTCTCAGGGCTTTTCATGCTCTGCTCAAGCAAAATCAGGGAACAGTGAAAGCAGGCATTCTTTCTGTCCATGCACTTACCTCCAATCCGACTGTCTTCCCGCTCTAGATATTTTCTCCACATCTGTCGCCCTTTTTCATCATCACTGAAACATATGGGAATAAATCAGAGCTAGGAAGCCAATTGGGTTAAGAGATGAAATCAAGAGTCTATTGATCTAGATCTTTAATCTTCAAAAGCAAATCTGACTCTCCCTAAATGATTACTCTTGATAAAGTGGTAAAAACTCAAGTTCACAAAAAGTTTCCCTTCAACACAACATGCTGCTCTTACTTACGGGAGATGATCGAGGTTCTCAGGGTTGGACTTAGGCCTCACTGTTACTCGATTCACCTCATTGTGGAGACCATCCAGAAGAAAGCGAAGGAACTCTTGAGCATCCTGTTGGCTGAACCCAAAGAAAAGAGTGAGCAAATCCGCTGCACTAAGACCTGGTTCTTGCTGCCTCCCACCCTCGGGTGGACAACACGTGCAAGACCCTTACTTATAGCCGACAAAGCGTGGTGCGTATCTCTGGATCTGGGTTTTGAACTCAGACGGGCTCACCACATCATTGGGCGATGAAGTCCATATGGTCTGGATTAGTTTCGCAAACTCTGTTGAAAGGAGATCAGAAAGAGGGTGTGGAAGACAGCTGACATTTTCTATAACAAATTCTAGCAAGCTCGGTGCTGGTGGCTCACACCTGTAATTCTATTTAGGAGGCAGAAACCAGGAAGACTGTGGTTCAAAGCCAACTTGGGCAAATAGTTCGCCAGACCCTATCTTGAGAGTACCCAATACAAAGAAGGGCTGGTGGAGTGGCTCAAGTGGTAGGGCACTTGCCTAGCAAGTGTGAGGCCCTGAGTTCAAACCCCAGTGCCACCAAAAACAAACAAAAAACCCTCAAAAACTAGAGCCGGGTGTGGTGGCATACAACTGAAATCTTAGTGCTCAGGAGGCTGAGGCAGGAGGATTTTGAGTTTGAGGCCAGCTGGGGCTGCAAAGCCAGATCCTGTCTCAAACAAACAAAACAAAACAAAACACTCAAATTAGAATCCCAACAAAAAGTAGGAAGGGAAAGAAAAATAGAGGAGAGGTACATGTAGAACACAACCAAGGGCTGGGTTATATAACTCAGTATAGGCGAGAACCTGGCACACAAGGCCCTGGATTTGATCCCCAGTACTGCAAAATGACAACAAAAACTCCCCTCTCAAACCCCACAACTATTAGCAGAGCCCAGTGGACCAGAAAAGCATTAGGAGAGGAAGCAGGGCCATGTCCACGCAGGCCCTCACCTTCCATGAGGGCGGTGTGTGCGTTGCTGGTGTGGCTGAGGTCCCGCATGTAGAGCCTCTGGAGGCAATAATCTCTCAACTCCCGTGTGTTGCTCAGGCACTGCAGAATTGAGTTCATGAACACTGCAAGAGATGATCCGGACAATCAGTGGGTACCACAGTTTTGATCTTAAATGTCTCCTATAGGCTTGTATGTTGGAGGCTTGGTCCCAGGCCACAGTGATATTGGAATGTGGTATCAATTTTGAGGTGGGGCCCAATGGGAGGTCTTCAGGTATGGGGTCACGCCCTTGAAGGGGACTGTGGGACCCAGTCTGTTCCTCTTTCTCAACCCACAACACGCACTTCTGCCACAATGTGCTGCCTCACCACAGCCCAAAAGCAACAGGTCAACCAGTCATGGCCTGGAACCTCCAAAACCAAGCCAAAATAAACGGACTGTTCATTTATCCCTATTTGCAATAGGGACAGAAAGCTGGCAACACAGTGGGCGAGATGAGACCTCCCACCTGGCATCTCTATAGTACCAAAGGCTGTCTGGTTCATCTAAACAGAAAAGAACCCTCTCAGAGCCTCAAACTCCTCTTTTCCTAAGTGAAAGGGGTCACGTGAGGCAAATCCCCACTTCAGTACAGGTGGTGTAACTGGTTATTTACTATGGAGGTGTGCAAAAGGGTGTGGACATGCTGGACAGAAGTGGGTAGGAAGTGATGGGAGTCTTTGAGGAGAAGGATCCAGGAAAGTAGTAAGCTGGGCAACTTCCTTTCAGCAGTGCTTCCTGCTGTGGGCGGGTGAGGCAGAGCACAGCAATTCTGTGGAACATCAGCCAGGAAGGGCAGGTATCCCTTCCAGTGGGTAGGAAGTCAGCTGGAGCCAGGAGGGGGACTTTGGTTAGGTCATCCCAATGTCTGGGGGCGGGGGCAGGAAAGAAGTGGGCTGGGAAGAACTCACCGTGTTCCCAAGGTTTCGAAGACCAGCCAGACCCTGGGCACTCTTAGAATTCTGTAAGCAAAGAACACATGGCATAAGAGGATGAGGAAAAGAGGGTGAACCTGTGCTATATACTCTCACACGCAACTTTCTGCCAGTTGGAGCCATGGCTCCAGCAGACCAGCATATTATTCTCTCTTCAACCCTGTCTATGTTTATGTACCTTGGAGAAAGAATATTTTTGGTTGTGTGTTGAAAATACACACAACCAAAAATATTCTTCAGGGTTTTGCTTTCTCATAGTGACCATGTATTTCCCTGTCCCGTCTTTATGTAATTTTTTTTTCCTTTTATTTTATTGTTTTTACATTTACTTACATGTATATATGTTGTTTGTGCCACCTCCTCCTCACCACCCCCCCCAAAATAAATGTAATTCTTCCTTCTCCACTACAGTGGAGACTGAAGATTAGAACTAGAAACTAGGAATCATTATCTGGGTACATATTTGGTTCCAAGCTACAAGAAATTTCAAGTCCCAAATCCAGGCACTATGTCAAATTACCTATATTTGTACTAGACACTGAACATATAAACCAACTATCACAATGGGCACTTTAAGGAAGTTATGAAAAGTTAAATGACAAAGCACCCTGAGTTTCGATCTTCTGCTGAGAAAAATTCAAGCTGGCCTGCTATTCTAAATTGCCAGAGACAGGTGGAATTCCTTCCAGCTGAACTCAGCTCCTAAGGGCTGATTAAAGGCTGGGAGAACCTCCTTGCCTGGCTCAGGTTTCAACATACTAACTGGCCACTGGCTGGAATCCTTATGAGGGCAGATTGCAGCAAGTGAGAGAAGCACCTGGCTGAAGGTGCTACTCTTGCTCTTGTCTATTGTGGAGGCTGGTGAGGGGGTTGGAGAGAGAGCAGGTGCTAAATCTCCGGCATTGTTTGTCAAGGTCTCTTAGCTAATCCTGGGCATACCTCCTAGGAGTCAGAAAACCTTCAGGTCCAAAGGGTTAAGGAAACATTTTGTGGATGAGTTTGCCACCCCCTCTTTTCAGGGAGGGGACCTGGGAGCAGGCAACTCTGGAGCAACACTGGCTGGGGCATGTGTGGGGCCAGCTCAACCCTGATCAGAACAGGAGCCTGAAATAACTCAGCTAAAATTACTCATGCCGTGTGCTGACAGCCTATGAGGCTGTCAGCAGCTCAAGGCCCATGAGATTGTCAGCTTGAGGGGGATGGGGAGGAGCAGGCTGATGGAGGGCTTTTCTCAGCAACTGCCTTGCCCGTCCCACAAGTAAGAGGATTCCTGCCCTGGCCAGATGTCAGGGCCAACACTAACAGGTAGGGAAAGAAAATATACGAGACCTGGTTTAAACCTGCCGCTGGAAAGCCTACTGGTAGCAGGTTAGGTGTGCGCATCCTTCACAAGCCAGCTAGCACTATGTGGCCTCAAACAAAATTTGAATCTTACCTACTGACAATGTAAACCCTGATGTTCTAGAAAGGGGGTCATTCCCAGGGGCAAAGATCTTATCAGTCTTTTTGGTGAACAGAAAGCCTTCGCCATCGAAAAATGCTGCAGAAATCTCCCTGCTGCCCACTTGGAACCAACCATCAGAGTGTGCCCACACAAAATGCCCACTTGCACCTATTTTCGGCAGTGCTTTATTCTCACCCCCTGTGCCTCAGAAGACATCTGTCTGAATAGACTGTAGACACAAAGCATTCTACCACTGGTGACCCTGTCCACCAAAGCGGGCCCTCAGTTGAGGCAGTACCTCTCAGCACTAGTGGGGATGGGGAAATGGGAGACTGGACTCATCTAACTACAGAGGCACCCCTTACCCAGCAGAGTGAGGGTCAAGGAGACCAACTCATCCCCCCCTGGTTATTATTCCTGAGGCTCTAAACCTCCTATTGACATGGGGATGGGGAGAAGGGAGAGTCTTCCCTACAGGTCCTAATGATTAGGACCCTCTTAATGTTAATATTTTTTAGGGTGGAGTCATGCTTTTGTGTAAAATTTCCTGAGTTCAAAACCACATGTCAATTTCTGAGCACTCAGTGTAGAAGGTGGGGGGATTTCAGGAGCCAGGGGTGGGAGTGGAGGGAAAAGCAGGACTGCTCTAGGCCCAGCCAGATAGTCTTCTGCCATGCATAGGAAATCAGGAGCTCGAGGGAAAGTCAGCACTTTCCATTCCAGAGAGGAACAAAACGTCCCAGGAGTGACCTTTCTTACAGGGCAAACAATCCTACCTCAGGGCTGGCAGGGAAGGAGAGGCTAGAACTGGAAGAGGTGGGACAGAGACCCTGCACAGCTAGTCTCTCATGGGAAAGCAGAAGGAAATGACCCCAGCTGTTCTTCTAGGACTCAGGTGCAAAGAGTTGAGAAAGTTTGGCCCTAGCACTTCCTTATACTCAGCCATCAGGAAACCTAATTTTGACTCAGTAGCAAGCACCTGCTAGAGAGAGCGGATGCCACCTCTATAGTCAGTAAACAGTACTCTTCTTACAGGACAGGAGCTCAATGAGCCCTCCCTGAGTAAATGAGAAGGTGGCATCTGGGAACAAGGCCCTAAGAAAGGTCAACAGAGGATGTGACTTCACACTGGAGACCCCAGTTGAGGGCTTTCATGTTTGCTTCACCTGCACCATGAGGGTTAGCCATGCATCCTGGCTGCAATCAAAGGAACCCGGTGTGGCCCTGGAGTGGGGCAGGACACACTGCCAACACGGGAGCTGTTGCCTGTTACGTAAGACCTGTCAAGCTTAGGCCCCTTCTCTCTTTTTCAAGGGGACAGCACCCAGCCCCAGCATTATGGTGAGAGCTGCTTCAGGAGAGACCCACTGCCCGCTTAGCACAGCTGGAGAGGCCGGGGAAGAGAAGGGAGGCTGCCCTCTTTCACCTGTCTACAACTCCTCTGTCCTTCACAGGGTCAAAGGACCCTGGCATCAAACCCTGGGAGAGGGCCCCTTGGGAACCAAGAGCGAAAGGCACCCCTTGGTCAAGCCTTCCTTGCTGGGGTTCAGCCTCGGAGGAGTCACCCTGCAGAGTCCCCAGTCCAGCATGCGGCCAGTTCCCTCAAACATCAGCCCTAGTCAAGGTTATGATTTCCTGCACCTGTCCTGATAGGTGCCTGGAATTAAGAGGCCAGGAGTCACCTGGTGCCCGGGTCAGGGAGAGAGGAGTAAGGGGGGGCTGGGAGTAAGCCAGGAGTGATCACCTGGGGAGGGGGCATTCCTTGCCCGGAGACCCTGGGGTGAGGGATGGAGGAACCAGTCTCCCCACCGAGGGGCGTGTGGCGATGTGGGGGAGTCCCGGGGAGGAGGCGGGATCCCAAACCCCTCGGCGGGCTTGTGTGTGTGGGTCCAGGTAAAGGGCTTGCGTACCTTGGCTTTGTTGAGCAGAAGCCCCACGAAGGTGGAGAGCAGCAGGGACGGGGAGAGAGGGGAGCGCGGCCGGAGCTCCTTGGCGAGGGTGGGAAATGGGGCGGCGGGGGGCTCCTCGGGCAGGGTCACGGTGTACGAGGTGCGCATGCTGGGGGGCTGGCGGCGGGCTCGACCCCACGCCTAACGTTGGCCAACCGGGCGCGGGGAGTCCCCGCGAGGTGCCACAGCCCGGACACCAAGGCCGACGAGGCGGCCACAGGACACCGTCCGCGGCGCCCAGTGGTAACCGTCACTGCAGGGCGATCGTAGCTTCCTCCGTCTCAACCTCCCCACCGCGCGCTGCCAACCGCTGGGGCCCGACTCTCGCGCTCCCGCCGACTAGCGACCCCGCTGGCGCCTCCAGCCGCGCAACGTCAACGAGGGGCGGAGCCCCGCCCCTTCCCGCCTCTGCCCCGCCCCCGGGGGCCAGCACGCGGATTCGAGCAAGGCCGCAGGGCCCGCCCATCGCGTCCTACCCGGCGGCCCGCGCCCGCGCAGCCTTCTCACACCTGGCCCGGCGCGCCGCGTTGAGCTGCAGGTGCCCTGAAGGGGCAAAGCCGGGGCGCTCAGTCCCGGGACGGCCTCAAGGCTGAACTCAGAATAAATTATCTTTGGGGTCCGCAGAGGACCCAATGTCAGCCCGGAGAGCATCTGCCTAGGCAGCATGGAATTCCGAACTTTTTTTTTTGGGGGGGGGTGCAGGTCGTTTTCAGGGCAAAATGCACAGATGCACAAACTTTTGTTCAACATTCAAGGGGACCCAGACCCTATGACGCCCGGTATTTTCACAGTCTACGGGGGCCGAGGAACTCAGATTAAGATGAATTTCCACGGTCCAGACGACTGAGCTCCCTTCCTCCTCCAGGCCTAGTTTGGCCCATTATCAAGCAAGGGAGGGCTCATTTTAGAAGGTACAATAGGTCATCGGCCCTCTTGGCCCCAGGAAAGAACATTTACTGAGATCCTTCTATCCAAATACCCAACTCCATCTCTCCCAGAATCTCAAATTTGACTTGTTTGTGGGAGGGACGTAGGGAGGAAGGCGCTCAGCTCCTGGTGGGGTGAGCGTCTAAGGAGACCCCAAGCGCAGCACTGCTTGAAGACTAGAGGTCTTATTTCTGATGCTCTGCCTGCTCACCTAACAGGAAAGCACACGAATCTGCCTAGAGAAAGTATCTTGTTTGGAGCTTGCGGGCTATTTTTAGCCAGTATTTTTAGCATTTAAAAATACTCAGAGAGGCAGGCAGCAGTGTGGGCTCCTTCTGTTCCTCCTGGCATGCTCATCCCCACATGTACACGAGCACTGCACACACGACCACAGCCACATGGAGATTGTGTCCCGAACACATGTGTGTGCTGTACTCTAGGCCACCACCCATGAAACAGTTTTGTGCTAATGGGAGGGGAGTGGGGCAGTCTTGCCAGCAGTGGTGGTGGGAGGAAGCAGGAGCCACAGGGCATTCAGGTGGGTGATCACTGAGAGCAGGTATGTTAGGAAGCATGATCTTCAGACTCTGATCCAACCTGGATCCTGTTACACACTGCAACAGCTTCCTTCTTTTTCTCTAAGCAGCCACACCCTTTCCAGTGGGTCTTGTACGGTCTGTGGCAATGCTTGCATTTGATGGCGTCACTTTTTTTTTAGTACTGGTGTTTGAATTCAGGGCCTGCACATTGAGTGCCCCCTTCTTTTTTTGTGATGGTTTTCTTTTTTTTGAGATAGAGTCTGGCAAACTATTTGCCCAGGCTGGCTTTGAACCTCAATCCTCCTTATCTTGACTTCCTCAGTAGCTAGAATTACAGGTATGAGTCACCGATGCCCAGCTTTTTTTTTTTTTTTTTTGACAGGTCTCACTATGTAGGTCAGGCTGGCCTTGGCCTTGAACTCAGCCTGCCTCAATTTTCCAAGTGCAGGAATTACAGATGTGCTCCACTACACCCCACTGACCACATCACTCTGGATCTGAAACAACTTCATCATCTTGCATCTAGTCTGGGAGCCTCAGGTAGTCTGTCTGGAAGGCTGTCCATAGCCTCCTTCTACTGTCTCACCCTCACATTTCTCTGACAACCCCACCCCCCAACCCCCTGCTTTTTTTGGGGTTTGAACTCAGGTTTGTTAGGCAAGTGCTCTACCACTTGAATCACTCTGCCAGTCCTTTTTGTGATGGTTTTTATTTTGACATAGGGTCTAACTATTTGCCCAGGGCTGGCTTCAAACCTCAATCCTCCTGATCTCTGCCTCCTGAGTAGCTGGTATTATAGGTGTGATCCATCCACCCCAACCTACTGTTATCTTCTACTTAAAAACAAAACTGCAGGAGGTGTGGCTTAAGTGGTAGAGCACCTGCTTTGCAAGGGCAAAGCCCTGAGTTCAATCCTCAGTTTCACCAAACCAAACCAAACAAAAACAGAGTACAAAAACAACAACAAAAACCTTGCAGCTGGCAGGAGGACACATGGTTCAAGGCCAGCTTGGGCTACATATTGAAACCTTGTTTCAAATAAAACAAAACTGCCACTTAATAAGTCCTTATTAGTTAGGCACGGGTCTAAAGGTTATATATATATTATCCCAGTTAATTTCCATAATTACATCATGAAGTAGTAACTATTACCTCTGTTTTATAGATGAAGGATCTTATGCCCAGAGAGGCCAACTGATCTGCCAGAGCCACAAAGCTAATAAATGATAACATGGAGCTTTGGACTATTCTACTTGTAAATTCTACTCAAAACTTGGATCTTCGGCTGGTGGTGTAGCTCAGTATCAGAACACTTGCCTAGTATATATGAGGCCCTGAATTTGATCCCCAGCACCACAATAGCCCAATCAACCAATCAACCAACCTCAGGTCCTCTACAAAGCTTCCCTTGTGACCTCTTCCCAGTTTTAAATACCCTGTTACAGCATATCCATACATTACTAGTATTCAGTTTATGTGTGGTTATCTTTGTTCTCTAAGTGTGTGAAAACTTTTGTAAATGGCCTTAGATGGTATGTGACTTGTCTTGATTGTGGCAATCACTGAAGGCCCCTCCAGGGTAGGGTTTCGGGTTCTTTTACTTAAGTGAAGACGGTCAGGCCAAGCTCTGCCTGGAATTCTGAAAGTCCCAAGTCTTACTGATCCTCAAAGGGTAGGCTGTGAGTCTGGTTTTGAATGCTGAGCAAGTTCACTGTGGGTGGGGGCAGTGTCCAAGGGATGCTCACTGTGGCATTTGCCCTATGTCCCCATGACTTAGAGCCAGTGAACATAAGCACTCCCACCCGAGGACATCTTGGCATTCTACCAGCGCACTCTCTCTCTTTCCTGAGATGTAGGAGGTTGGTGGGGGAATGTTCTGGGAATGGGGAGGGTTGGATTGAGAAAGCTCTAGCATGTGAGCCCTTTGAGAAGTCTGGTGAGGGGAAGAAATTCACTCAGGGTCCAGTCTTGTCCAGCAGGTCTGTTTGCTGCAGGACACAGTCAACAAAGAACTATGGCTAGCCAGGTCCCTGTGAGACCCTTTCTCCCCAGAGTTACTGCTTTTTTTTTTTTTCTTTTGGTGGGAATTCAGGGCATGAATGCTTGCAAAGCAGGCACTCTACCACTTGAGCCACACCTCCAGTCTTTTGCTGTGATTATTTTGGAGATGGGGGTCTCTCAAATATTTTCCTGGGCTGACCTTGGACCTCAATTTTCCTGATCTTGGCCTCCCAAGTAGCTAGGATTACAGACATGAGCCACGAGAGCCTGGCTCCCCAGAGTCATCCTTTAAGTAGGCTGGGTACAAAGGAGGTAGTCGCATTTGGGATCTGAATCTGCCTCAGGCTCCATGACTTTCTGTGCCTCAACTACGCAGAGCTAATCTGAGCTGGGCTCATTCCTACAGCCCAACAGTCATTTCTCAGCCTAACTCTGTAGGATAAGTCATTTTCTTCACCTCAAATCCTTTCGGGCATGACAAGGAATATATGTTAATTAAAGTCAGGGTTAGCTCAGTGAGGACAGGACTGAGAATCCTGCTTCTCTCAGATCTGAGTGGACAGCTTCATGGAGGGTTTGGTGTCACCACTTGGGCTCAGGCAGATGTCTTAAGGCCAGTGGCCTGGCTCCCAGTATGTGCCTGCCATCCTCATGGCAGATGAACAGACTGGTGGCTTGATTGGCAGTGAAAGGTTGGGCTCCTCACATGTTACTGTGGGAGGAGTCAGTTTTACCTTCCCACCTGCTGTAGGAATCTCTGCTTCCCTATATGACTGGACTCCCAGAGGCCAATATTCTGATACTCCTCCATGCCCGAGGCAATCTGCCAGACCAGTCAGATTCCAGAAGCC